TATTCTCAATTTATAAACTGATTACTCACAAATTTGGACAAATACAACAGTATATTGTGTAAAATGTGCACATAAACCATAAATTGGATCAAAAATCAAACAAGTGCAAAAAAAAAAAAAAAAAAGAATAAAAATTAAAATTTTGAAACTCAATTCTGAAACATCCTTAAGTTTGAAATTATGGTAATATGTTGACTTTTTTAAAAAATTGATTCTCGAATTTATAACTGATTACTCACAAAACTTGGGACAAATACAACAGATATTGTGTAAAAATTGTTGCAAACATAAACCATAAATTGGATCAAAAATCAAAACAAGTCATAAAAAAAAAAAAAAAGTTATGCTCTGTCCTTTAAACGGAAACTTCTTATGGTCCCCTTTTTGTATAAGTTGTGCTAAAAAAAAAAAAAAAAAAACTAATTTGTGCTCAAATAATCTTCCAAAAGGACTTGAAGTAATATGTTAAGAATTTAAAAATATGGAAGTAGCTTTACAAAAAATGGCCCAAAGGTAAGAATTAAAACTCTTACTTTGCTTCATTTCTAAATTCTCGCTACCACATTTTAAAACTCAAATTCATCCTCAACGGGTGCACATCTTCTTCTTAACTCTGGACCAGTATTATTTTTCTTAATGAAATCCTAAAGAATAATAATTTTATCCACCCCAAATTTCCCTTTCATTTAAATTCCTATCCTAACATTCTATCCTGCCATGTTACCCTTAACAATCTTCGCCCCATAATAGAATTTTCAAAAAAAAAAAAAAAAAAAGTTATGCTCTGTCCTTTAACGGAAACTTCTTATTGGTCCCTTTTTGTATAAGTTGTGCTAAAAAAAAAAAAAAAAACTAATTTGTGCTCAAATAATCTTCCAAAAGACTTGAGTAACTGTTAAAGAATTTAAATATGGAGTAGCTTTACAAAAAATGGCCCAAAGTGTAGAATTAAAACTCTTAACTTGCTTCATTTCTAAATTTTGTACAATTTTAAAACTCAAATTCCATCTCAATCGGTGCACAATTTTCTTAATTGGACCATATTTATTTTTCTTAATGTAAATTTAAAGAATAATAATTTTATCACCAAATTTCCTTCACATTTAATTCCTATCTATACATTTATCTGCCATTACCTTAATAATCTCCCATAATAGAATTTTCACAAAAAATAAGACAAGGGTGATATCAGATTTTTACATTGGCTTTTTTTCCAATGTTATCAAAAAAAGAAAAGTTTATCTATATAAAAAGAATAAAAAAAAAAGAAAATTTCGTATATATAAAAAGTAAGGAGGTTTTATCATATAAAACAAAATCATTACTGCTAATTAATCTTTAAGTTGGTCTTTTGACAATTTGATTTTATTATTATTGGTTGTTCTTTTGATAATTAATATTTAGTTTTGTCATTGTGTTTTTTCAATCTTTTCTTGTTTGATTGTTTAAAGTGGATGAGAGAATCTTGATTAGCTTGCTTTTTTTTTTTTTCGTTTTTTCCTCTCTTTTAATACGTGTGAGTTTCCAATTTTGGCAATGGAAAACAAAGCTAAGTTATCTTTTCTTGTTGTTGGTATCCAAAATTAATTGTTTCAAACTTTATCTAATTCCATATTCCCCAATAATAGTTATTCTAGAAATTGCTAACTCTTTTACTGGCAGAATTATGAAAATGATTGAAATACATTGTTCTTTCTAAAAATATACTGTATTTATTTCCAAATGCTATTAATTAGTTTGAACTTTTAATTATTAATATGCTCTTAAAATCTTAAATGAGCACTTAAAATGGAACAGAGTAAAATATATATTTATTGCTATTCAAGTGAAATGGAGGGAGTAATTGTTAATAGTTAGCTAGCTATTTATTCAGTGGTTTATAATAAAGTGCTCGGAAAAAAAAATTTATTTGATTAGCTTTTAAATCAAAATACTAAACACCACCTTAAAAATTATTGCGAAACAAGACCAAATTCAATTTTTATTATGGTAAACCGATGGATAAGAATCAATTTATTAGTTTCTTAGATAATTTGGCTTGATTTTAATTTTAAAAGAGAAATTAAATATTTTCAACTCAGTTTAATTTTTATTATATAAAATAAAAATAAAAATAACTTTAAAAAATTAGATTGATTTACTCCTAAAATTGAATTGTATTAAATTGATTTAATTTGTTTCAATTTGATCTATAAACAATTCAATCGGATTCAATTTTTCATATACTCAACTTGTATTTATTGAGTTTGCTTTGAATTGAATCCATTAATACTCACAGAAATTTGCTTTGAATTGAATTGAATCAATTTTTCACATACCTCTCCTATGACTAATAAAATTAATTGTTTTTCGGATTATATGACATTTTCTTTTTATTTAATTTGTTATAAATTTATTAAAAAGACAATCTAATTGGTTAATGGGAGAAAGTGACTGTACCCATATATTATTATTGTCTAAAAATAAAAAAAATAAAAAAAAATCATTAAAACGAAGTTCTATGAAGTAATGACCCTTTGCTATATTCATTCAATTGGCACTAAATAGCTTGCGACTACAATTCTTCCAGCATTGAGGCCATTGACCTATTAGGAAAAATATCTTTTTGTATTTATATGATTCTAATAATTTTGTATTTATTTCTTATAAAATAGTTAAAAGGGAGTAGAAAAGTATTTGTGAAATAAATTGTTTTATTATAAATTTATTAAATAATAATTTTATAATTCAAAATTACCATGTCTAGAAATAAGTAACCGCGAAACTAGGGTGTGGCCAGTGATGGCTGCTCTTCCCCTAATTTTAATTATTTTTTGAAAATTTACCTTTTAAAATATAAAAAATTTTAACTTTTATCTATAAAACAGTAATTTTTTTCAATATATAAATATTGAAAAAAAAAATTCTTCCCCTTTGGTTATTTTTTCTCATTCCGCCACCAGAAATAATTGTTACATTTGTGAATTTTCAGAAATAATAAAATTTTTTCCTTTTTTACCTTTTGCAAATAATCAATATTAATTGTTATAATTCTTAAAAAAATATCTTTTTTTTTTTGTTACAAACAAAGATAATACTTTCGATTTATTTAATAATTTATTATAACTTAGATAAATCAAATGGTTTTCTTAAGAAATGAAATATGACGAAAGGATTAAATAAATGATATATAGATATTTGATGTATGACTTGGAAGAAGTACCATGGAGTTAAAATTTATCGGTATATTTCCTTTTGATTTTTGATTGGCAATACAAATATATGAGCATCATGCAATATTATATGGCCGCCTAGTAGTAGTATATACCTCCAAAGCGCTCAGAGGGAGGCATCCAACAAATTACCTATTAAGCAAGCTACGAATTAGGTCAACCGACAATGTGAATTTACTCTTTATTCCATAAATATATAAATTTATATTTTAAAAGAAAAAAAAAAGAAAAAGAGGTAGATCTAGAATTAAATTATAGAGAAATATATAAAATTTATATTTTAAAAAGGAAAAGATAGATCTAGAATTAAATTAGAGAAATTATCCCAAAATATTTTGGCCTTGATATAGAATTAAAATAAGATATTCATATACATCCTGACTTATTCAAATTAAAAAGTTGTTATAATATAATTTGCTTTGATCAAATGAAAGAGATGAAGATGATATTTGATTTAGTTGATTTATATATTTAATAATTGATTTAGACTTAAAAGTGTTTGGTAAAGAATTTGATTAGCAACTGATAGTTAATAATAATTTTAATCACTTGTTGATTGTGTAGTTATGTTTTAGAATTTTTTATTTATTTATTAGGAAGTCCAATGAACCGAAATAACAATGCCGGCTATACAACAAGCTAATCCTCCATTTTATTTATTAAATTGGTGAAAATTTTTGATCGAGAGGACACAAACTTGAGATTTTTCACTCACAGTTAGTTATCGTTGATATAACTAAAAGACCGAATTAGGTATTCAGACTTTCTAAAATTAATTCTTTACATACAAATGTTTTTAAATATTGATCCTTCAAAAATTTTAAAACTTGACGTATGATTTGCATATTTTCTAAAATGTGTAAATATTTCTTCTCCCAAATTTTTTAACTTTCAACTTTGCATTACTCCTTTTTTCTTTAAAATTATGTATATATATATATATATACTAACAATGTCTCATATTTAATACTTCCACAGTATAATTATCACACATGTTTTTTTTTTTTATAATGATTCACAATTTTTTTTGTTCATTCATGTTCGAAACCACAAAATCCTCAAGTCTAGTTCTTTTCAATTTTCATTTACCTGGATTTACGTATGAAACTTTTTTTTTTTTTTTTACTAATATTTCTTTCTCTCCAAATTTTTAACTTTCAACTTTGCATTACTCCTTTTTATTTCTTTAAAATTTATGTATATATATAATATATATAACTAACATGTCTCATATTTAATACTTACAACAGATATATAATTATCACTACATAGATTGTTATTATTTATATAATGATATACACAATTTTTTTTGTTCATATCATGTTCGAAACCTACAAAATAACACCTCAAAGTCTAGGTTTCGTTTTTCAAATTTTCATTTACCTGGATTTACGTATGAACGTATTTTTTTTTTATTTTTTTTTTTACTCGAAAAAGAAAAAAGAACGGAAGAAGGAAAGTTGCTATAAAGGTAGGCAAATTCTCTTGAAAAATAACTATATGTATTGTACATTGTTTTTTTTTTTTTTTTTACTCGAAAAAGAAAAAGACGGAAGAAGAAGTTGCTATCAAGGTGGCAATTCTCTTGAAAAATACTTGTTTGTACATTGCATGTGTATCGAACAGAGACTCCACAACTAGCTTTTGGTGGTCCTCACGTTAAAGTAATCTGATACAATCTTTGGCCACACAAGTCCCAAGACTCTCTGGAATCAAACCAGGTCTTTCGGCTTTCCTAGTAGTTTCCCTTTTTTGCCCTTCCCCTACTTAACTTATATATACAACTCTCACTCAACCATATTGCCTAGCTCAACTCAAGATTTTCCACCATTATTGAAAATTCAAGCAGCAGAGCTTCTACTAGCCATAACCAAAAATAAAGAGAAAAGAAAAGGGTTTTTGCTTATCTTTCTTTTTTTAGCATTTCAGTAAAATGGATAAAAAGAAGCCTTATTTAGCAGTGATTTTAGTACAGTCAATCTATGCTGGAATGTTCTTGGTCTCCAAAGCTGCTTTTAATGGTGGAATGAACAATTTTGTGTTTGTCTTCTATAGACAAGCTGCTGCTACTCTTTTCTTGGCTCCTATTGCTTTGTTCTTAGAATGGTATGCACTGATTATGTTTTGATGTTCTTGATTTTATTTTATTTTTCTTGTTTGATGATCATATATATACAGATCTTGATATTTATCTGTTTGTATAGGAAAACTGCGCCCCGCTTGTCATTTGTGACTTTTTGCAAGATTTTTTTGCTATCTTTATGTGGGTATGTACTGTTTAATAATTTGTGTGTTAGTTTCTTATTGCATTTCTTGTCCTTATCTCTTGAAAATAATTTTTGTAACAGTTTCTTTCTTGGATTTTAGGATTACTTTAAGTTTAGATATTTATGGAATTGCACTTGTTTACACTTCTGCAACTTTGGCTGCTGCAACTTCAAATTGCCTTCCTGTCATTACTTTCTTCTTGGCCCTTTTGCTCAGGTAATCCTCTTTATTCTTCCTTTTTAGCTGTAAAAAATAATAATAAAAAAAATCCAAAAATATTAGTCCAATTAGCAAGGATGAAAATTTTTATTTTTTTTTTTATCGTTCTTTTCGGCGTACTCTATAAATAAATATTTTTAATATAATAGATTGGTGTCGAGAATTGCAGAACTTATTCAAGAAGCAAATTTTAATTTTGATATGCATAAATTAGTTCAAAAATACTAACTATAAGTAGGGAAATAAAAAGGAATTGAATGAGCATTTGGCATGCCATACATAATTGATGAGCATGAATATCCCATCTTGCTGTTATTAATGAGTATAGGACATTACTGTTTTGGAATCTTCCAAAATACATGTCCTAAATCCTAAGTTAAAATTGAAAAAAAAATATAAATAATAAGATTTGGTAAATTTTTATGATTTTTTGATTAAATAATTGTTAGGGTAAAATTGATCTGTTAAAAACTGAATTTTTAACTTGAAAGATAAAAAATTTAGGTCAAATCCTAGCATATCATATTAATTTAATTTAGTTCAATAGGAAGAGAACATATACCAAATTCCTAAAGAATTGATAAAAAATTTATACAAAATAGTGATTAAGATTATTATTATTTTTTTGTTTAGGGAGAGTGATTGTGATTGTTAGAAGGAATTAATGTAGATTAATGAATAATTGGATTCTTAAATATAAAATAATCTTGTTAGTGACATTCATTGCTTAATATTAAAACCCACCCTTCCCTTCCCCTTCAATATTTAATATCAGATTTCATTGGCATTAGAGTCTAATAATCTCAGTGCTAATCATTGGATTAAGCTTCATTGGCTACTATTATTAGAATTCAAGATAATTTTTTTGGTTCGGGTGGGTTTTAATATTATTGTATGAAGGGTAAATTACTATAAAGTCCTTGAAGTTTAATTGAAATAACTATTTCGTCTCTATTATTTGAAGAAATTACTATGAAGTAATTCCTTTTTTGCTATTTATATAGTAGGATTAAATGAACCAAATAGTAATAATGTGTTAAAAATGAATGGTTAAATAATTAAATATGACGTGATATTTAACAGTTAAATAACATTTTTTAGACAGAAAAACTAAATAATTTGACATGATCGAATCTTAAGGACTTCAAATAATTTGGTGTGATACAAACTACTCATTTTGATAATATTACCCAAAGATTCAGATGTTTGTACTTGTACTTCCTCTTCTTCTGTCTCCTTTCCTTACTTTCGTCGCATACGGCGAAGTGAATATGAGGAGTGGCCATGTGGTCTTAATTGAGATGCAGTTATATGCAAATTGACAACCTAACCACTTGTGTTCCTCAACTGGAGCCTTCTCAGAAATGAGCCTGGTCCCGGAGAAACATTATTATATATAATTATAATTATTCCCTGTCCCTACACAATAAAATGTTTTCTTTTCACGTGCTGATATTCAACGGCCCAGATTTGTTTCTTATCAAATTTCAATTTGGATACTTCATTCACAATTCCTTTTCAAAAATTTATTGTTCTTCTTTCTTGTGTTTTGATATTTCTTTCACTTGCTCATTGTTATTGTATATTCTTTTTTTTCTTTTCTTTTCTTTTTTTTTTTTTTTTTTTATTAATATATCCCATTCCCTACACAATTAATATAAATGTTTCTTTTTCAACGTGCGTGATATTTCAACGGCCCAGATTTTGTGTCGTTGGGAGTGCGAAAGTTTCGAATTTGGGATACCTTCAATTTCCAAATTTCCTTTTCAAAAATTTATTTGTTCTTCTTCTTTGTTGTTTTGAATATCTTCATTTCACTGTGCTCCATTGTTATGTATATCTCTCTTTTTTTTCTTTCTTTTCTTGTTTTTTTCTTTCTGTTTTTTGAGATTTTTTTTTTTTTTTTTTTGAGAAAGTTTTGGCAAAAATATTGAGTAACATGTGAAGATGACATTAATTTGGAGAACAGGATGGAGGTGTTGAAGTTGAGGACATCCGCAGGTATTGCAAAGCTTATAGGCATAGTCACGTGCATGGCAGGTGCAGCAACCCTGGCATTCTTCAAAGGTCCCCATTTCAAAGTCATGTGCCACCATCACCTTTTTGGATCCCCTCATGCTCAGGACCTTCAGGGTCATGTTTCTTCTGGCATAATATGGATAAAGGGTTGCTTCCTCATGCTCATGTCCAACACCTGTTGGGGCTTGTGGCTTGTTTTGCAGGTAACTTTGCAAATTCCTACTCTCTCTCTCTCTCTCTCTCTCTCTCTCTCTCTCTCTCTCTATATATATATATATATTCTCTCTCTCTCTCTATATATATATATATATATTAGACTTGCGTAGACCTAGTCCATGGATCTATTATGGACCAAATCAGTGAAAATACTATTCTTTATACATTGTTTTCACTTTATCCTTTTCATTTTCCCATAAAATATTAATTATGACTCTAAAAAGTTGCTGATTAATAGTTTTTTTGTCATAAATTTTGAGACAGGTAGGAGTGTTAAAATGCTACCCATCAAAGCTTCTATTCACCACCCTTCAGTGCTTTCTGAGTTCAATTCAGTCATTCGTTATTGCCATTGCTTTGGAAAGAGATCCTCACGAGTGGATGCTTGGTTGGGATATTAGACTTCTTGCTGTACTTTACTGTGTAAGCTCTCTTCTATCTACTGTTGTATTAAATAATTTTCCCTATCGTGGACATATTAAACTGTAAAACTAAAGTCGTTTTGTCAGTGAACTAGCAGCAACACCAGTAATGCAGAGTGTTTATTTGGCATGCAGGGAATCATGGTGACAGGAGTCACATTCTATATGCAAGCTTGGATTATAGAGAAGAAAGGTCCTGTTTTCTTGGCCATGTCTACACCATTAAATTTAATTTTTACAATGTTCTGTTCGGCATTTCTTTTATGCGAGATCATCACTTCAGGAAGGTATTACTCATTTCTTTTATTTATAATCTATCTATTTATCATTTCTTGGTACAATAAATTTAATGCCGGTTCTTGAATAAATTGGTGTGGTCTTCTTGTTGCAGTATCTTGGGTGGTGTATTGCTGGTTGGAGGCCTCTACAGTGTTTTATGGGGTAAAAGCAAAGAGGAAAAGATGTCTGATAAAACTTGCACTGTATCCCAAGTTGACAAAGAAAGCTCAGAGTTGAAACAAGTGATTCCAATTGCAACAAAAGAACAATTGCCTGTATAAAAATAAAATACAAATTACAGCTCAAAATTCTAGTTTTCAATTGATTTTTAGACTCATTTGCTCGTAAGAGTATTAAATATAAAGCAAGGGGATTAGTGTATTGCTTCTTTTCATATCTTTCTTTACTCACTTCCATCTTTATTTTCTTTTACTATACAAATTAAAGAAATTTTAGATCTTTATTTTCCAATATTCTTAGGGTTTTTTCTATAGTTGATTAAAAGTATTTATAATAGAGGAGAATAGTTAAATCAGAATAAAAATAGTGGAGATCCTCCGATATTTATTAGTTAGATACTTTCTAGAAATATAAAATCCCTTAATATATTATTATTTCAGAATATATTTTATTTTGTATATGTGTTATCTCATATATTCACGCACTAACCTGTATTTGGTGTATAAGAAATATAATTTCCATATGATGCTACCGTTGTATGTTTTCTTTTAGAAGTTTATTTTGGTATAGCAGTTAGGACAATAAATGAAAAGATAATAATATATATAATAGCTAATAAAAATTATTCTAATACCTTTAAAAAAAAATTTCTAAAAAGAACAAGGGATGATGTCAATCCTCGTAATTATCTTCGGATGTTACATGGGATAAAGAAGTTCTACATCTATGAAAAATAAAAAGTAGATGGACTAATAGGAATGAGAAAAAAAAAAGTAATTTTGTCCAAATAATAAATTTATTTTGTCATCATAATTATTGCTATGTAACTAATTAACACCCCTAAATTTATAATATTATAATTAGACTACTGTTGTACCAACCATTAAATAAAAATATAATATGATTGAAAAAGTTTAAAAATTTCACTACACACATACATATATCATATTATTTTATTAAAGTACAATATAAAGAAGAGCCATACAAGTCTAAGGCCATCAAAGTTAAATTTGCTTAAATTACTAAAAAAAAAAAAAAAAAAAAAAAAAAAAGTTAAATTTGCTTAAATTAACTAAAAAAAAAAAAAAAAAAAAAAAAAAAGTTTAAATTTGGTCAGGCGATTTAAAAAAAAAAAAAAAAAAAAAAAAAAGTTAAATTGGCTCAGGCGATTTTGGTGGAGGTATTGCTATCTTCAAGCCTAAATACAATACTGCAGCGTTTCGTTACTCCAGATCCCCTGGACCCGAAAATGCCCAACTTACTAAAGATGGACCCGACCCAATATAATAAAGCTTTCAACCAAGCAATAAATATTTTCAACAACTGTTATCACTCTTCTTTATAGAGAAAGACTTTGCTTACCTATGCCGTGTAAGAGCCCTTAAAATGAGATACCTGATAGTTACATATGTATCCACTGCTCTTGATATTTCTAAACAACCTTATTTACACGTTAAGGCAATAAAAAAAACTTAAGATTATTTTTCATCCATGTTCTTATTAACAAGTTCACGAATGAAATGGTGCTTTCTTTCTACATGCTTTCTTCTCCATTGTTAAATTGGATTCTTAGATACTGAAATAGCTGATTTGCTGTTACAAAAGATAATTTTTGCTGCATTTGGCTTTTATTTTAAATCCTCTAAAACTCTTCTTAGCTGACTACATGACAAGCTGTACAAGTGGCAGCTGCGTATTCTGCTTCTATACTTGAAAGAGCTGTGCTTTGTTGCTTCTTTGAAGACCAGAATTAGCCCCTGAACTAAGGCTAACATGATAGCGTGTTCTGCATTTCGATCATATGAACAAGATGCCTAATTACTATTAATACAAGCAATAAGACTTCTGGTTTTTCCTTTTAATAGTCAATGCCAAATTTGAAAGTGCACTGAATAACCAACAATTCTTTTTACTGCACCCATGTAAGATTCTTGCTTGGGTTATGCATATATATAAAGATGAGACTTACAGGAAAAACAATATTTGGTCTTGTGTGAATAATATACATAATAGCACTCGTAATGCTTCTGAATTGCTTCTCATCAACCCTTTTCAGCTCTATCATCTAACGATAACTTCTCATTTGTATTCAACAAAATCTTGACTGACTTGCAAATATCCATTGTTGCTCTTTTTAACAAATCATGAACACTTTCTTTGATAATATGAAGATTGCATAAATACAATTCCCAAAAAATAACGCAATGAACCCAAGTCAGACATTTCAAATATTTGCGTCACGGACTGCTTGAAATCTTGATTGTCTTAATCGTTTTGAGAGAATTACCAGTATAAACCATGTCATTAACATATAAATATACAACTAAAAAATGATGGTTTTGAGTTCTAATATGAAGTGAATGTTCATTAACTATCTGTTGAAAATTATTTTGAGAAACATAAGAATCAATTTCCCTAGACCAGGCCTTTGGTGCTTCTTTAAGGCCGATTACTTTGTATAATTTATACACTTTATGAGCTTGCTCTTTAACGATGAAGCCTTCAGGCTATTCAACATATACATCCTCAAATAAATCACCATTCGAAAATGCAGAATTAATACCCAGTTGGTAAACTTTGCAACTATTACAGGCTGTGAATGCTTAAAGAGTCCAAATTGTATTAAAACGAGCAACTGGAGCAAATGTTTTAGTAAAATCAATACCTGAAACTTGTACCAACTGAGCTGTATGTCCTTGCAAAAAACCATCTCACGGAATTTCGTTTTTCAAACCCATTTTAGGCCAATGGGCTGCTTCCCTTGATCAGGTAAGCCCATTAAGGTCCATGTCTTGTTCTCCTTAATTGCTCTCACTAAATACGAATATCCATAACTGCTATCAATCATTTAGCTATCCTATTTATCAGTAGCTGTTATTAACTATCGGTTGGTATAAACAACTAGGCCAAATAGACCCTTAATTATCAAACCATATCAACTCATTAGAAGTATACAAGTCTATCACATAAGTGATCACATCACATAAATACAAAATAATATTTTGCCATGCTTTCCTAAATTATATTGTTTCAGTTCGTTTGGATAAACAAAGATAGTTTATAACTAATGAAGTTTATTTAAAATCTCTAATGCATTTCCGTTGCACACTAGAATACATAAGTAATCATAAAAAGTGTGTACAAGGAATAGGTTGAACAAGTAATGATAAAACACGATCCTTAGTTTCTTGGTCTTGAATTCCATGCCCGTCTCCATATTGGTATATGCATTGTGCCGTCCTAGCTAGGTTAATTGCTGTGCCAATAAAAATTTCTGAAAATGGAGAATCAACAACTCGTTCTCTGTTAATCTTTTTCCATGTTTCATTAATTAAATATCGGATGTGCTCACGAACTCTTATTTCTGAAACTCCAATTTCATGCATGTAACATTGAATTGATTTTGGAACATCCCCTCTTTTTAATTCATCCTACAAATAACAAGAAGAGAACAGAGAATACATAATAAGAATTTAACAGAAAAATATAAGAAATAAATTGAAAAATAGAAATTGCATAAACTAGTTGGCATGCATACCGAGTATGTTCCAAGATCATTTGCAAGTCTAAGAATCATGGCCGACCAACGAATTATGTTAGGATATTCGTTCAAGGCTTTCAAGGCATCAGTTGTTATCGAAGTTTTTAAAAGAAAATAACCATGAATTTGTTGGCGTGAGCAAATCAAGGAGAAAGAAATGTCAAAGGTGATGAAATTAGTGGAAATTGTTGGCGTGAGCAAATCAAGGAGAAAGAAATGTCAAAGATTTTCGTTGCAGGCTTTCAAGGCAACCCTCCCAGTTGTTATATCGATAGTAATATTAAAAGAAAATAACGTAGTGAACCTCTTGTTGGCGTGAGCAAATCAAGGAGAAAGAAATGTCAAAGGTGCTGGAAAATTAGTGGAAATTTGTTTGGCGTGAAGCAAATCAGGCAGAAAGAAATGCTCAAAAGTGACAGATTGTGAAGAAAAATCTTACTGTTCAAACTTTGACATGGCAAAAAAAAATTAGTGTTGTAAGTTTGACAGATTATGAAGAAATCTGTTGTCAAACTTTTGACAAAATTTTAAATCTTTTTGCCTTTAATTTAGGCTGTAAATAGGATCTAATATTGCTACAAAAACTAGTTAAATATTTGTAAATTGGGCTGAGAAAAGTAATGAAAGAGGTCTGAAACAATTGTCTTAATTATCTTTTCTAACATGGGTAATCCGAGCAAAATATAAGGTAGAAAACTGGAATTTTTTTTCTTGCATATCCAATGACAGGAAGATTTTTTTTCTGCAATCATGACAGAAGAAAATGCTCTTGCTGTCATCCCTCATGAATCTCAAATCATTGTTCAAGACAATGCCCCTCTCCCCTCTGGAATCATCTTAGATGATACAAATTATCCATTATGGTCGCAACTTATGGAGATGCGTATTGGAGCTCGAAATAAATCTGGATTTCTTAACGGTGCAACACCAAAACCAGCTGCAAATGACAAACAATTGGAAACCTGGCTTCTTGATAATAACCGGGTTAAGAGTTGGCTCATTGATTCTATGAGTCCACTCTTGATGCAACGATTCATCCGTCTTCAAACAGCCAAAGAAATATAGGAAGCTGTTGCAAAGACGTTTTATGATGGATGGCTCGGATGAAAACACAAACTTTTTAGATCTAAATCGAAAAACATTTAACCACTCTCAAAATGGTAGATACCTATCTTTATATACAATGAAAACTGATTAGCATTTTCAAGACAATTGCATGCTCGCATTCAAAACACAAAGAAGATAATGCTACAGTAATCGTATCACATGCATAAATATATAAAACTCGGAACTTCGCAGTTCACATTATCTTCTTCGGCTTGGGCTTACCCAGAATTCTCAACCAAGCTCGAATGAAATATTTTGAGGCAAGATTCCACCTCTTGATCTTGAGTCATGTTATGCATATGTTTGCAAAGATCCACCACAAACCAGAGACAAACCTACTGAGAGAACCAAAAAAAGCTTCAGCCCAGAACTGGAATGCGTTTTTCATTTGACAGTTCCGGAACACGCCCTACAAATTCCCCACAGGACTAAAGAGAAAAATTTGGCTCCAAGGAAATAATTATGTGTGCAACTCATTGGTGAAGAAGGACATTCAAAACAACCGTTGCTATGAGATTATTGGGTATCCAGAATGGTGGGAATTTTACAAAAGAAAGAAAACACTAGGAAGGAACTAGGAAGAAAATTGTACAGGCTGCTGCCATAACCACAACAGATGAAGAAGTAATTGCATCTACTTCAAATCCAGTTGCAGCACACGTTACAAAAGCTGAAAATCCAAGTCTGTCCAATACTTATCTTGTTAGGAATAATACATGGATAATCGATACAGCTGCTACTGACCATATGACAAATGATTCTACCCTTCTTTCACATATTCATCCTTCACCTCAACCTCATGTACTCACTGCTAATGGAGGAGTTGCTCCCGTTATTGGTGAAGGATCAACACATGTGTCGCATTCCATTAATTTTGATACTGTGCTTGTATTTCCTTCTCTTTCTTCCAACCTTTTATCTGTTGGTAAAATCATAGAAACTCTAAATTGTACTGCAACTTTTTGGCCTAATAAATGTATTTTTCAGGACATTATAACACAACGGATTCTTGTTGGCTATGGTATTAGGCGTGGAAACTTGTACTATCTTGATTTGGCCACTTCAAGAAAACAAAGAATTGATCAAGCAAACAGCACTGAGGCCAGTCAAGGAAATGAGGATATGGTTTGGTTATGGCATCGTCGCCTTGGTCATCTATCATTTAATTATCTTCGAAAATTAAAACCAAGTTTATTTTTACATACAAATGCTAAGTTTGATTGTGACATTTGTGAAATGGCTAAGAGTCATAGAATTTCATATCTTCCTAGTTATAATAAGAGTACTTCACCTTTTATGATTATCCACTCTGATGTTTGGGGACCTGCTCAAATCCCTACATTATCTGGTGCTCGTTATTTTGTGACATTTATTGACACTCAAAAGCCACAGGCCCCATACTGCTCAAATCCTGCTCAAATCCCTACATTATCTGGTGCTCGTTATTTTGTGACATTTATTGATGAGTGTACTCGCATGATTTGGGTCTATCTCCTACGAAACAAGGGAGAGGTATGTTCTATTTTTCAGAATTTGTATCGAATGGTAAATTCACAGTATCAATGCTGAATTAAAGTTCTTCAATCTGATAATGGTGGGGAGTATATAAATTTTGAATTGAAAATTTTCTATCAAAAAAATGGTATTCGACACCAAACTTCATGTGCTGGTACACCGCAACAAAACGGTTTGGCAGAACGAAAAAATCGCCAAATACTAGAGGTTGTCCGAGCTTCTTTATTTGGCATGAAAGTACCTCGAGAATACTGGCTCGAGAATACTGGGGCGAAGCTGTTTGCTCTGCTGCATATCTTATTAATCGGACGCCATCACGAGTCATTGAGTTTAAAACACCACATCAAAAACTCCATGAATTAGTTTCTGCTCCAATCAGTCCGAACCTTGAACCTCGTGTCTTTGGCTATACTGCATATGTACACTGGGTTGCAGGTAAACTTGATCCACGAGCTGTCCGTTGCATGTTTATTGGGTATGCAAACCTCAAAAAGGGATATCGATGTTATGATCCTACAGAAAATAAAATGTATGTAACCTGCGATGTCACATTCCATTGGGTGAAGACAACACTCATGAATACTTTGAAGAACAAGAAACAACTGATACAACACTTAATTTGGGTGAAGACAACACTCATGAATACTTTGAAGAATAAGAAACGGCTGATAAACAACTATCAGATCCTGTTGTTACACAACCTGAGAATGATGATGGCGCTAAGAAAATCAAGATAGTACAATTTCCCAAGTCACACCAACAGCCATAGAAATTCTGGATGTGTCGGTGTCTCCTCAAGTAACATCACTACCTTCATCTCCTTTAATTCAGGATCCAATTCCTCTAGCTAAACCAAGATATCCAATTAGGAAGAATAGAGGAATTCCAAAAATACAATATGATCCTGATTTTAATGCTAAGACTAAGTACCCCATTAACAATTATACCTCCTCTCATCATTTGTCAAAGTCATATGCACTTGTTGTAAATCAATTATCTCCTGTATCTATTCCAAGTAATGTGCAGGAAGCATTGATGGATTCAAAATGGAAGAAAGCTATGAATGATAGGAAAGCTATGAATGATTGAATGGAAAAAGCCTTACCAAAAGAATCATAACATGGGAACTTGTATCGCTGCCCCAAAGAAGAAAACTGTAAGTGCAGATGGATCTTTCACAGTTTAAGCTTAATAAAATGGAATCATAAGATCGTTACCAAGGCAAGGCTTGTTTGCTACAAGGGTATACACAAAAGTCGGAATTATTATGGAGATACATTTGCTCCTGCTAGCAAAAAATAATACCATACGAATTCCTATTTCCATAGCAAGCGAATCAAAGATTGGCCGTTGCGACAGTTCGACATTAAAAAATGCATTTGCGAATGGAACTTTGGAAAGAAGAAGTATTACATTGGATCCTCCCCTCCCAGGCATAAATTTGGTTGGCAAGGTATTGCAAACTAAAAGGCGCCTATACGGATTAAAGCAATCCCCCGAGCCATGGTTTGGAAGGGCTATCAAATTTCTATGAAAGAAATTGGAAATACAAAACAAAAGTGATGCTGATCCATACTCTCTTCGTCAAAACACGAATTTGGAGAAGGTAAACTGCTCTTATTGTATAGTGGGATGACATGGTTTTTACTGGATGAACTCAAAATGGAAATAGCTGTCCCTCCAAGAGAAAAACCTTGCAACTTGATTTGAAAACTTAAAAGAATCTTGGACACTTGAAAATATTTCTTTAGGCATTTGAAGTTGCAAGATTCCATTGAAGTTGCAAGATCAAGTAATGGAATTTATCTATGTCAGCGAAAATATGTATTAGATTTGCTAGCAGAAACTGGGATGCTTAACTGTAAGCCCGTTGAAACTCCCATTGAAGTGAATCACAAGTTAGCCATTCAACAAAACCAGATTCCAGCTAACAAGGAGAGGTATCAAAGATTAGTTGGAAGGCTAATATACTTGTCGCATACGCGTCCTGACATCGCATATGCGGTTAGTATTGTAAGCCAATTCATGCATACACCAAGTGAAGAACATATGAAGGCTGTTCATCGGATCTTGCGATACTTAAAGTCTTGCCCAGGAAAAGGATTATTTTTCGCTAAATAGGGAGATCAAGAGGTCAAGGGATATACAGATGCAGATTGGGCTGGAAGTTTGACAGATCGAAAATCCACATCAGGGTATTTCACTTTTGTCGAAGGTAACTTAGTTACATGGCGAAGTAAGAAGCAACAAGTGGTAGCAAGATCAAGCGCAGAAGCAGAATTTCGCGGAATGGCACAAGGCATCTGTGAATTGCTATGGATAAAGCGTATTTTACATGATCTAGGTATACATCTGTCAACACCTATGAAGTTGAAGTCTATTATGTTGATAATAAGGCAGCCATAGGCAATTGCAAATATCATCAGTTCAACATGCGCAGAACCAAAAACACGTGGAAAGTTGAATCGGGCACTTTCATCAAAGACCATCTTGAACAAAAAATACGCAATTAGTCTTCCGTTGTCACTTCAAAAGATCAACTTTAGCAGTATCCTAACAAAGGCTGTATCCGTAAAAGATTTTTCAAAGCTCACTTAAATTAAGTTGGGACATGATGGACATATATTTCACAACTTGAGGGGGGAGTTGTTGGCGTGCAGCAAATCAAGGGAGAAAAAGAAATTGTCAAAGGTGATCGAAATTATGCCTGAAAATTGTTGGCGTGAGCAAATTTCAAGGAGAAAAGAAAATGTTCCAAAGGTTTGACAGTTGTGAAGAAAAATTCTACTGTCAAACTTACATTGAGGCAAAAAAAATAGTTGTTGTCAAAAGTTTGACAGATATGAAGAAAATCTGCTGTCAAACTTAAGAAAATCTGCTGTCAAACTTTGACAAATTTTAAATCTTTGCCTTTAATTTAGGCTGTAAATTAGGATCTAAATTGTACAAAACTAGTATAAATATTTGTAATTGCTGGAAAAGTAATGAAAGAGGTGAAACAAAATTGTTCTTAATTATCTTTTCTACAGAACTAATATAACAGGAGCTGATATGGAAATCCATGCATTATCGATGTATTCTTGCAGTGTTGGTGTATATCCACTGTAATACCATTTGGCCTCCAATAAGTAAGATTTGCATATATCTGCCCACTGAAAAATATTAAAGTTATTATTGTTATCATTATACATAAAAAAACAAGTATGATTATGAATGATTTACGAATATTATTAATACTTACGGATTTCTTCAAGTAAGGAATAATGTGAAATCCTTGTTCCTTAAGGGTGTCAAAAGCCATTTCATTTATTGTGTCATGGAGAGTTAAGAAACATATCTTCATGTAGTCTGGAAGCTGCTCTGTTGCATGGACATCCCATCTAAAAACAAAGCATAAAGATACATATAAATGAATTATTATTTCTAGATGGCTTTCTATATATATATATAGAACTATATATAATATATATATATATAATATATAATATATATATATAAGTACTTCATGTCGCACATAAATTTATATATATATAAGTACTCATGTCGCACATAAATTATAAAATTCATGCCATAAAGAATAATCTGTCAAGCCTATTTGAATATATTTATATCTAGAATTGTAGAGAGGATAACAATCTATGTATGAATGAGTTTTGACTCAATGATACTGGATTTTTTCTTACATGAGTTTGAACCAAATTTCAAGAAAAAATCATTATTAAAAGAAAAATAATCATTATGAACAATTCTAATGCATACCTTTCCACAGCATCGGTGAACAATTCAAGTTCATCCAGGGTGCCATACACATCATAAATATCATCAATTACTGTAATTAGTGCACTGAGTTTTGTCGACATTCTCCTAAAATATCCAAATTGTGGTTCAAATGTCACTCCTATAGTCCACAAGAAATTCTCCATTAACCTGTCTCTTGCGAAGCTCAACTTTTCTCCAAGGCCTATATTCATCCACCACCTGGATGTGGGAAAAAAAATTATGTGAAAAGTTAATCTCTCCCCAAAAGGAAAGAAATTACAAACATTTTGTGTGCAAATACATACTGCTATCCTAAATACATGGTGATCCTCAGTCTGACCATACTTGAAAAGAAAAGAAGAAATGAGCATAAGTACCATGATGTGTATTTAAGATCCTCTTGGTGTATTGCCTGGACGTAGTTGAAATCCAATTTAGCAAGCTCCAGCAGAAGAGAATCCATGCCTTGTTTTCTCTCATAGATATCAATGGACCACCTAGTCTCCAACCTTAGCATCCCCCAATGCAATGGCATCTCCAGTGCATGAGTTATCGACATAGATATATAATTGTCATTCTTGTTTTGTTTAATGTAGTTTTTGAGATAACTTGTAGTAAAATCTCTTGCTACTTGTAAGATATTCTCATCTTCTTCTGAAAGGAATGATGCCTCATACAAAGATAGCACTCCATCTAAGCTCTCACGGAGACATACTTTGAAGTTTCCCATTTCATCTAGGAAAATATTAAAGACATCTGCAATTCACTTGGTCACGTTAATTAAATTAATATTGCTAGAACAAAAAATATTAATAATACGATATCACTTGTTAATTTCATTGTTTCAAGACCTAAGAATAAATTGACCGAACCAAAAAATTGGATAGAAATTAATCATGTAAAATTGAAAAACCAAAAAAACAAAAAAATTGAAGTAAATTAAGCAAAAAAAAAAAAAAAAGCTCAAAATTGAAAAGTTAAATCAAATCAAACAAAATCGACTTAGATCGATTTGATTGTAGATATATAAATATATATGTATGTATGTATGACATTAAGTATCAAGGGAAAATGAACTTGAGATTTTGTTCTAGCTTTGCAGCAGCCATACGCAAGTTCATATGATTTGAAACGTCAAAAAATAATCAAAAATTCTATATTTCAACTATTTATAAAGCAAGTTTCTTTTATTGTCATTTTGTATGTCGTATTCGAACTATTTGTATGTCAGCTGGACTGGTTTGAGTTGGTTTAGTTTTAATATCAACTTCAGTTAGGTTCGACTTTAAATTTTGTGATTGAGTTTCCCTTTCGGTGTCGGTTTGGTTTGACCTCTACTAAAAAAAGTTATTCATTTGCATCGACACTCTCAAACTTTTGACAACACACTTTTGTACAATCTTTTATTTTCTCTGTACCAAAAAAAAAAAAAAAAAAAAAAAAAAAAAAAAAAATGTACCAAAAAAAAAAAAAAAAAAAAAAAAAAAAAAAAAAAAAAAAAAAAAAAAAAAAAAAAAAAAAAAACGTAGGGAAATGCTAGAGGTGGAGCTTTTTGAGCTAGTCCGGCTATTTCGATATTTTAGTGAATTTTCTATTTGGTCACCCGAGTCAATCAATTTACGACACCAATTTTTCTGTTCATACATAGGCCGTAGAAGCCATAGCCTTTGGCAGGAAGTTACAGATCTGTCTATGCAAACAAAAATTCATAGGTACGGTACGTACCACAGGAGAATTCATTCAGCCATTTACAAGTGATAAGGGTCAATAAGCCTTAGGCTATTGCACTACCAGGTATCTAATCTCGTTTGCTCCCCATGCTTTCGCACCCCAGCATCGGTAGGGACTCAGAGAGCACCCATGCCTTTCTTGGTTGGAAAAATCGAACCTAATCTTTCTCCTTTTAGCTAGGAAAAACTATTGAATTAGGGTCAACCTCAACAGCTCTTCTCCCCATACACCAAGAAGGATCACTAGTGAACTAAACCAATAAAATTAAGGATTTTTATTGAAATGAGAGTATTTCTGATCGTGTATTTAATAAAAAATTGATAAAGTTGAAAAACTTTATAAAAAATCATTAGTTTCATTTATTTGGTCCATAAATTGAGGCATCGACCTAGTTTAGGTAAGTAATTTAAAAAAACACAGGCCGAATAGAAAAGCAGATTCAACAAAAAAAAAATAAAAAATGAAATAATCTCAAATCAAAGTGATGGTTTGAGCGAAGTGTGGAACTAATACTTTGTTTTTGTTAAGTCTGTCGGCAAATATATCAGCTGTTGCAACAAGTTTGAATCTGATATACATCAAAAGAACAATTTCCAAATATATAATTCTTACCTTGTGATATGGTGTAGCCATGCTGCCTTAGAAGTCTAAACTCAAGAGCTATAGCATGTAAACCCTCCGTCCCTGCAACTCCGGTTCGTTTACGATTGTAAAAACCCTCCGTCCCTGCAACTCCGGTTCGTTTACGATTGTAAATACCCATCAACTGTCTCTTTATTTCATCTTCAAAGTGATAAGCTATTCCGAGTCTCTGCAAGGTATCAATTAATTCGAGTTGATTCAAATTATTGATGGGTTGGTTAAGCATAATCCTCACTTCTTCCTTCAGCTTGCTAATCCGTTTTGTGTACACTTCTCCCTGCATCAGATTACCGAAATCAAGCTGATTAATACATAGACCAGCCCAAGGTTCAGTTTCAAATCGGAATCAAACAGGAAAGTGGAACTACTTTGAACTGAAAAAGGTTGAAACTGAAGAAAGGTGAAATGAATATGGAAGCAATTAAAAAAAAAAAAAAAAAAAAAAAAAAAAAAAAAAGAAACATATTAATATTTAAAAAAAAAAAAAAAAAAAAAAAAAGAAACATATAATATTAAGTCTCTCTCTCTCTCTCTCTCTCTATTTATATATATATATATATATATACCTTAAATTCACTATTGAGTGATTGCACAAAATCATAATCCCACAAGGGAGGTTGGTAATTTGCAGATCGTCTCACAGTATTCTCATCAGTAATGCTTTGACCAGTAATACATCTAACTTTGCCACTAAAAGTGAAATGTTTGCTAAATCCGAGAAGGAAGTGAGTTCTGAGCGGCGGTTTAGTGAAAGTGAATGTAGGAAATGGCACAGATAATTGACGAGCCATAACTATATTGTTCGAGGGACAAATACATAAAAATGCACGTGCCTGAATTGAACAGGTTTAACCTGTTGGTATCTTCAACTTTGCCAGAATTTCTTTCGTAAATCAACTTTTTGATTTAAGATTAGGACCCACCTAGGTCATAGAAAGAGTACGTCACGTGAACCAAAGGGCTTCTTAACCACAATAAAAAGGTGCCTCACATAAATATATTCTAATTTTAAATAAATATAAAAAAATAAAAATCCTTTGTAGATTTTTTAGGTTTTTATCAAATAAACTATAGATTTATATCTGTTTGGCACAAAATTATATTATTTATGTTTTTTGTGGTTTCTCTCAATATCGCGTGGAGTTTATAATCTCTATATTTTATGTAAAATATTTATTTTTGTTTTGTTTTGCATTTAGTTTGTTTTTTTACTTATTCTATTATTGCGGTATTTTCATCCATTAAATTAAGTAGTTCAAATTCTTTGTATTTGTTATAAACAACTAGTTTATGAATAATCAAGTCATAACAGAATATTCTGAAAGTTTGTTTAGTCAGCCACTTTGAAGGTCTATCAATTTTTATTAAGTTCAACTTTCAATTTATTTTATTAGGATCTTCTTATTATATGAACAAACTCCGCTGTGTTATATTTTTGTTATATTAGATTTGTTCTATATTTAGTCTTCAAGAGAGAGATCATGTCCTCTCACTATTATTTGTATTACTTTGAAATTATTAATGAAATCATATGATATTATATTAAAAAAACCTCTTACTTAAAAGAGAATTTTAATTTAATTTTTTAAAAAAAAAATTGAAAAGAGAACTTTAATATCATTTTTTAAAAAACCACAAAAAAGAAAAAAAAAACACAAAACAATGTTTCCACCCCAATATGGGTTAAACCTTCAATTTTACTCCGAACTTTTGGAATAGTTGGAATTTTATTCAAAATCAACTTTTATACCATGGGCATCTTGAACTTATCACCCTAGTTACAATTATACTATAATTTGCTTTTGCATCTTATAAATGAATTACAACACTCTGAATTTGTCAGTTTGTTGCAATTATATCCTAAAAATAAACTAAGGTTGAAATTTTGATTAAAATAATATAAAAGAATGAACTTCATACCTAAGTATTTAAACAATAAACTAAGGTTGAAATTTTGATTAAAATAATATAAAAGAATGAACTTCATACCTAAGTATTTAAACAATAAATAATAAAATCAAATCAAAGTATTTATATAATAAATAAATAAAATCAAGATTGAGTATTTGATTTTAAAATTGAACCAATTTTAAAATGCAAAAATAATGAGTTGGATATTAATTCAAATTAGAGTATAATTGCAATTAATTGATAAGTTCATGGTGTCCATGATACAAAGATCGATTTAGAGTAAAATTGCAATTAATCAAAAAATTCAGGGTGAAATTAAAGTTCAAGCCTCCCAACATGACTACAAAGCAAATCCCCTCTTTAGTCATCAGCATCAATTCTCAAAGGAAAATTTCTTTCAATAACATGGCAATCAAACAGAACACTACTTCTATTCAAAGGAGACTCACTAGCGTAACTATGCTACGTATCATAATGGAATTTTCTAAAATATCTTTAATAAAATTTGAAATGTCCTAAAATATCATTAAACATGATTAATTTAAAATTTTAATTTAAAAAGTATACATAATACTTTATTATAATTTAAAGTATTTTAATTAGGAGAGTTAAGGAGAAGGAAAAAATTATTAAAGTTTTCTTAAATCTTTTACTGTTTCTCAAAGGTTTCTCCTAGTTAAGCACTACTAAAACAATATTCACGCGCTAGTATTATTAAAAAAATAACAATTAGGACTTAATTAAATAATTAAAAGTTAACATTTTTTATTAAAATGCATGATTTGAGTGTTTATTCAAGTTTACGATTTTTGAAAGAGTTTTTGGGTTGGAAAAAAAATTATGGATCCAATATCTCAAAATTGTTTCTGACTAATGTTTAAAAATTTTGTCAAATTTTTGAATGAATATTTATTTAATAATAGAGTGTTTATTCAAGTTTACGATTTTTGAAAGAGTTTTTGGGTTGGAAAAAAAATTATGGATCCAATATCTCAAAATTGTTTCTGACTAATGTTTAAAAATTTTGTCAAATTTTTGAATGAATATTTATTTAATAATAAAATTTTTTCAAAAAAATTTAAAATGAAATACGTGTCAAAATGGATGCTGTGGTGGATACACGCTGTACCAATAGCAATTTGTACCTCAAGGGTTACGTGTCTCTTTTCTTATGGAACGTCCATTAAAGGGTACATATATTCATAGATCTACATATGAACCACAAATAATTGAAGCATATAAACACCATATACTCTTATCAAATAATGTTGTCGTATAATTCCATATGAATCATGTGATCTTCATGCTTTATCTTAATTGCCTTTTATCAAAATTTTGTTTAATTATAATAATTATTCAAACATGCTTTTTAATTATGGCAAGATTTTAAAAATTTTAAAATATAAATATAATAAAAACCTTTTTTTTTTATCTTTTCTTCTATATTTAAGAATAATTATAAATTTAGTATCTAAACTTTTAAAAATTTTCTATTTTAAAAACTGAATGTAAAATTTTTACAATCGAAAGTCTAAACCACATGAATTTTTTCATTCAAGTGTATATTGCCTATGTGGCTTACCGGATTCACCGTTAGGATGCTTGGATCCTACTAATCAATTGTTTCTAAGTTGACCGGACTCTAAATAAATGAACCATAAAAATATCACGTGCTAAGCACGTGAGTTAGGTTATCACGAACTATCTATGCCCCAATTTTTCTTTAGATAGAAGATTTGAGTCTCTTGAAATATCTTGCAGCTTGTAGATCATCACTTTCGGCTAGGGCCGTGCATAATCTGATCCGACCTGAAAAATTCAAACCGATTTGACGAAAAATATAAGGTTATAATGGATTTATCGAGTCGGGTCAAACAATTTGAGTAATCTATATATTCTTTGTTTAGTTTTAGTATATCGATTAATGTCTTATTTAACCTGACCCAATACGAAAAATGAAAATATCTATCTTTTTTTTTTATTATTTCTTCATATGACTCACTCTCCTTGTTTTCTTTTTTTGCTTGTAAAATTAAAAATCCGAAATTAAAATCAATATTTTCTTGAAGATAGTATGCATTTTTTCTTGAGCAGCTAAAATTATAATTAATTAGTTTAAGTTTTCATGTTTTTATTTCTATTATGTATGTTAAACACTTCATTAGGACTTTTTAGTCTGCTATCGTTTGGTTATGATTTAAAGATGGTAAATTACTGCTTGATTATGGCTTATGTGATTGTGATTATTATGGTTTGATTGTGTTATGATCTTTTCATTATGAATGTTTGATGTTGATTATGCTTTGATTATTGTTTTATGATTTTTTGATTATAGATGTTTGAGCACCAATTATTTTTCTAGATAATTTTTTTAATTGTGAATGATCCAAATAAAAATTTTGATTGTGCAAGAGCTGTATAAAAAGTAGCCAACCCAATTTAAAAAATGTTTAATTGAAAATCGGGTTAAATGAGCGCCAAATAACCTGACCTGATTTTGTAGGGGTTATTCAGGTGGGCCTCGAACTTTAAAAGTGGTTAGTTCGGCTAGTCATCCCCTTATTTAGGGTATTTTGGGTCGAGTCAATTTTTGACCCAACCCTCCCGTTGCTCACCCCTACTTTCGACTAAGTGACTTCTTGCTGCCAATCTCAAGAATGAATTCAACTTTATACTCATTAATGATTTGGCTTCCTTATGAGCAATTTTGATATATGAAAGAGATATTTTTCATAATCACGACGTAAAAATCTTCCTCTTAATAATTGTTGCATTCTTCTCCAAGAACTCACAAGATTGCAACCTTCTCACCTTCTAGTCTCTTTAAAAAGATTCCATCATCTAGTAGCTCCTCCGTTTAAGCGGTCAATCGCCAATTTTACCTTTATATCTGTAGGAATTTCATAATATTCAAAAATATCAATCAACCCTAGTTGACCAATCCAAAAATACCAATCCACTGTAGAGTTCAATGCGATTATCTATCACACTATTGAAAGTGAGTTTCATCCTATAATCACTACCTTGAATTTTATGCCAAGAACCGATGATTTTTCGTGAACTTCACGATAAACTCATAGCCCATGAAATTTTGCTTAAAAGCATTGTTGCTCTCCCCCAAGCCAACTATGCTACTCGCCCGAATAATTTGACCCCATTGCTTCTCAATCCTCCCTCTCACCTTCTTCTCATAAATATCAAAATTCCAAAAACTTTATCATGAATAGCTCGTGTCAGATTTGTGTTTATCGTAACCAGATTGCCAACATATGTGGATGGGCGCTATTCCACCTATTCCAACTCTTCCCGGCCTCATACCCCTAATTCTTCTCCTCAATTTCCTCAACCCACTGCTTATTATTCCATGATCCCTACTGCTACCACATTCCATCCGCCTCTTGCGCATTACTCTCATAGTAGCACCTCCACGCCATGGTATCCTGATACTGTTGTAAATTTTCACCTTACTCCTAATCTCTCCACCCTTAGCATTGTCAATGGATACCAAGGGATGGATCAATTAAATGTGGATAACAATATTGGTTTAGATATTACTCATAGTGGTAAGACCTTTTTCTCTTCTTCTTTTGGTCCTTTTAAATTAAATAATGTTTTTTGTATTCTTCAAATTATTAAAAATCATCTTTCCATTCATCAGTCCATAGAGGATAGTAATTGCTTCTTTGAATTTTGGCCTTCTTATTTTCTTGTTAAGGATCGAGTCACCAATAAGATTCTCATGCAAGGCCCAAGTGAAGATGTCATTTACTCCTGTCTGTTGGGATTATAACTGATCCCGAGTGGGGCTCGCGGAAAAATACTGGTGGTAAAAGTAAAATAAAATTACTATTACCACATATAACTCCAATAATTAAATGTTGAATATTGACGATCGAATCCACCAGAAATAATAATCACGGTAA